CCTCTCTTATGAAGAGAGGCTGAGAAAGTTGGGGCTGTTCAGGCTAGAAAGAGAAGCTGCGTAGAGACCTCGTAGCAGCCTTCCAGGATCTGAAGGGGGCCTACGAGGGCGCTGGAGAGGGACTGTTCATCAGGGACTGCAGTGGTAGGACAAGGGGTAATGGCTTTAAACTTAAACAAGGGAAGTTCAGGTTAGATCTAAGGAAGAAGTTCTTTACAGTGAGGGTGGTGAGGCAGTGGAATAGGTTGCCCAAGGAAGTTGTGAATGCTCCAACCCTGGAGGTGTTCAAGGCCAGGTTTGGCAGAGCCTTGGGCGACATAGTTTAGTGTGTGGTGTCCCTGCTCATGGCAGGGAGGTTGGAAATAGATGATCTTAAGGTTCTTTCTAACCCAAACCATTTTATGATTCTATAATATAATCTGATCCTGAAATCTGCTTCTGTCCTAGTGGTTGTTTTGTTTCCAATTCTTTCCAGTTCCTTAAGACATACTTCTTTAGTCCTGTTTCCTCAACCAGCTGTGGAACTCAGAATTAGTTTTAAATATCAATTTTGTTTTTTAAAGGTTATTTTAAATCAAGGAAGAGGCAAGCCAGGAGCAAAGAAGAGTTTGTGAAATGTAGGTTTGTTTTGTTTTCTGGTTTTTGTTTGCTTTGAGCTTTTCCAACAAGTGATAGAAGAGACCTGAGTACTATCCAAGATGGTGATTTTTATTTCTACTGTTAAACAAAAAACGATAGAATTAGGCACTATGTTCTAGCTGTTAAATCAGCAAAGAAACATTGCTTTCGTAATGTTATGAAGGTGTTTTGTTGTGTGTATTTATCCTAAGTTCATTGCTGAGTGTTTTTGAGGCAGATACTGTAAGATCAGTTGGACAGGTAATTGAAGGAGATTTTTGAAGAAAAAGTAGCAGAAGTTTTGCATGTCAGTAACCTGCCTGTTTTATTTTTTCAATTGAAAAAATCTTTATGAAGTTATTTTTTCTTTGCTTCTCAGAATATACATCTTTCTTAAATGTGGCATTAAAAATGCTCCAAAACATGGAGATAGCATTTGGAGTGTTAAATCAGCTGTGGCTATCATAAAGAAGGATTCAATCAATCAATTTTTAATTCATTATGTCTTTTTAGGAGAAGGTATTTTCTTTGGCTTTGCCTTTCAGAAGAGCATGGAAAAAATAGTGTTTATTAATAAAGGATAAAATACGCCAGGAGGATACATAAGTTTCCTATGCCTCCTTCAGCAGCACATGGAGCAGACCATGTTTCTGTGAAAGAAACGTGTCTCTGCTTTCTCTCCATACTGGTACTGCTCACCCTCCACCTTGCCTTGTGTGACAAGTTTGTCTGTCCTTATCTGCTTACAGCCTGTAATAACCTTGCTGCATTAGGGCATTAACTCCATGTAACTTCCTGTGGTCTTTTTTACTTTCCTCTAACCTACCATTCCTTTTTCCACTAGTTCATGTTCTGTACCTTCTCAGGTATGGTCCTGGTGCTGTTGCCTCATCATACGCTTCCATTGCATACTTCTTGACCACGCGCAGAGACAGAACTAGTCTCTGTGACTCCCTTTTGCAGCGCACACGTTCTTGTTTATGCTGTGGGTATGCTGTTGTCCATGACTAGTGTTTCTGTGCCAGTTGGAGAAGGTTGTATTGTCCAGGGGCTGTTACAACTGAGGATGCTGGGGAGGCAGGAAAACTGGATGTAGCTGCCTCACATAGAAGCATGTATTTTGTAGCTCTAGACAAATCCTTCCCTGCAGGCAAAGTAGCAAACTGTCCTGCTTCGTAACACTTTCACTTGATTTGTATACCACATTTTTGGGAACTTGTTGAACATAAACTGAGACTGTATTTGAAATGGCTAGTTATTTAAATTTTAACTCAACACTCTCCAGCTTCCAAATTTAAACTGAACTAGAATACAGAAGATGTGAGATTTTTGAAGAATGTGGTTGTAAACTGCCTGTGTATTCTGAACAACATGTTGCAACTTGTATAGCTTTTCATATCAGTTTTCTGTGTGTATAGGTGAATGTCAGTGCATTAGTATTTTTCAATTAAAGGCATATCTTTTACTTTGTTTGAGATTCTAGGGCTGAAATATACTACAGCTGTTGACATTTTGGAACTTTTAGCCAAGTTGCCTTAGTGATCCCGTTACAAATTTTAATGAACTTAATGCTTTTGCTCTTCAAGTTACAGATGGAATCGGGAGAAATACCTCTGCAATCTGTATTGTATTGTATTGTAGTGTCACTTGCTGGAATGTGATACAAATATTTGTAAAATTCAGATTTTACACTAGAATGACTCTTTGTGCTTATATTTTCCAGCTGTTTTCAGCTCAGTTAGAGGATGTAAGACAGCTTTTTGTCATCCTCAGTAACAATTTGAACATACGTAGAATAGGCAGAATGAAAATAGTCTCATTTGGAGTTGTTTGTTCAGAGGCTGGAAACTGATCACTAGCTGATAAATTGCATAAGCTTTCCCTTCTCTTTAAATAAAGCAGGGGTAAGCAGGTAAGATATACTAATATAAGAAATGCAGGAAAGATTTTTAAGTGGTGTTCAAAGATGAAAAAGGTGCAGATACGGGATTTCGAAAAGGGTTTTGGCCTTTTTTTTAAAAATACTGCCTAGTGTACATCTGTATGATTTTGCACTCAAATACTTCTTGATAAGGTGATCAGTGGAAACTACCAGAATTGTACATGATACACTCGCCATAGATTCTTGTTTTGCTTGAAAAACTGTTCTATAATAAGCATTTAACTAAACTTGTCTACCTTGGTTTCTCTCAGTAGTTGAGATAAACTTAAAAATAGCTTAGCTCTCCTTGATTCTTCCTCCATTTTTCAGTGCATATTTAAGTTTGGTTTTTTTTTTAGTTATGAGGAGGTACATTTAGATAGATCATTTGTGTGTGTATACTTAATACAAATAAATATATTGCCGTAAATAATTTGTATACAGGTTTAGTGAATCTTTCTAACTCAGACAAAATTACTAATGAGTGTAAAGACAGGATTTATTTGTAAGTAAATGTTAAATGTGTTCCCACCAAACATTGAAAATGAATATTTTTTAAAACATAAAAAGTGCAAGATAAACCAAATAAAAATCAAATTTAAAGTAAGATTTCCTGAGTGCTGATATCAGCTGTAGTTAAACCATTATCTGAACACTTAAATTGTTGTACCCTGTTTTGTACAATATAAAAAGAAATATGATCTTCTGTCTCAGCAGTTTTAAATAATGATAGCATCATGTATTTTTGCTATCACTCTTAAAGTACAAGAACCTTTCAATATCAACTGCATATATGCAAATCTCAAATTTATTGTACTATATGAAATGAGGATGTTTCTGGGAATTTAGAAGTGTTTTGAAGCTGCCTTTCGTATATGTATGTGTCTTTATCTTACTAAAAGACATTTTTGCTTTTATTATGTATGACCTTCATATAGTTTTCTCTTAAACATTAAGAATTATGTCACAGGCAGCTTATTCCTTTGACAGAGGTAACTTTCAAGCACAGAAAATATTGTATGTTTGCATCTGCTTTTCCTCTGGTGGTTGGGTAGGCAAGTGGTACACAGGGATATGACTGCTTCTGTTAGATGGCATCCAGAGTCACCGTAGTCCCTTGGAGAGCCTAGTTAATAGGGTAAAAGTTAGTTTTTAATATGTGTATATAATTTTTAAGAGATGCACATTATTTGCTGGAGAGTCTTATGAAATAATGTGGAGATGGAATTAATATTGAGTTTAGCATTATGTGAATGCTTATTCTTTCTATCTATAGTATATTTTTTCTTAGTATATAATATAATAATTACTATTGTTTCTACGGATACATGTTGGTGAATGGGATGATGACTTTTTTTGGTGACTTTGAGTGGGTGCTTAATGTGTCAGTAGTTTTCTTACTGACTAATACATTGGGAAATCTTCCCGAATCCTACTGCAGTATTAAAAAAACTGTAAGAATTTGTTTTAAGGATGCTCAGGTACTATAGTAATGGTGTATTAGAACAAAACTGGCTCAAACAAGAATTCAAGAAATGTATTCTTGTATGTATCACTGCAATGTATAGTAATCTTTTTATGCTTTTGCTGTTGCAGTTCTTGCTTCATCTTTTTTTCCTGTTTAAGAAAAAGAACAGCTGTGTGGGTGTCATCTGTATTTATCTATTATTTGTCTGGAGAGGGAGGCAGAAGTGGTAGATTTCTGACTTGATAAGGCACTGCTAAGAAGAATCAACTTGCATGATTCGTCATCAAGGATCATCCCTTCATAGGAAAAAATTATTAAATGTACTTTAATATTAAATGGAACTTCCTTCTGAATGCAGTAATATTGGTGATTGAGCCACAATGTTTGGGCTTCGATGGGGAGAGTTAAAATAGAAGTGAAATTTAGATTTGTCATTGCTGTTGAAAAAAACGTGCTTCTGAAACTGACTTTATTTCTCAATTGAAGCTCAGTTTGGGATGATAGTATCTCTAGTTTATTCAAACCTTGGGTTTGCAGTGCGCCTTACAGTTTAAAATCAAAGCCATGTCAAGCGTCTTTTTTTTTGCTTTAACATGTGGTACTGCTTTTGTCCTATCTACTTGTGTTGAACGTGTGGAATTTTTGAATTTGAATTTATCCTGAACGATAAATTGTGACAGTAGAATTAAAGTGCTACAACACTACTCCTGTTTGCTTAACAAACATAAACGGATTCCTGCATAAGTGCTGAATAAGGATCCTTACAGGAATTCTTAGATGAATACCTCCAACCATGGGGATGAACAGGTGGGGAATTTAGGTTTACAGAAGAAGGGAATGAGGGGTCATTTGTCTTAACTAGGCTTCTCTTCCCTTTTAGGAGCTATTTATACATAGCAATTGATTGTACCCTGGGTGCAAGCAGGAAGCATGTATGTTCTATTACTTGGGTTTAGCCATTTTTATTTGAATCTCTAGAGTGGTAGCTGGCGAATGGAGGACTTTGGTTTCAAATTGGTATCTGCAGAAGGAGCAGGAGCCCTCTTTAAGCTTGTCTTGTGTGCATGCATGTGCACGTACATGCAGGAGGAAGAAGAGGAAGGAGAGTGGGCTGAAGCACTGATGGGTCAGCTCTTTTGGAGGACACGTTTCCCTGAAATAATAGTAGGTGCTGAGATGACAGGACAGACACGCTGTGGAGGCTACGAGAGCCATTTTACATAGAGTCATAGAGTCACAGAATAGTTAGGTTTGGAAGGGACCTTTACAGATCATCTAGTCCAAGCCCTCTGCAATCAACAGGGATATCTTCAACTAGATAAAATTGCTTAGAGCCCTGTCCAGCCTGACCAGAGATGGGACATCTAGATTGTATGTGCAAAGCTGAGTGGTGAAGTAGCAAATACCTAGGCAAATACTGAGTTTCTGGAATTTCCTGGTTTGGTTTTTTTTTCTTTTTTCCTTATATCTTGTATTTATGGCAATGCTGTGGGCATTTTTGTTTGAGGTAGAGAGCCCCCTTTTTGTCTTTCGTTCTTTGTCCCTGTTCTAGTCTTTTGTCTTTCTTCCCTTACCTCTGCGTTCTCCAAGTAAAAAAAAAGTGCTGCTTGATAAGACCTTACCTGGGCTGCATCCATTTAATAGGACTGCGTGTTGGTGTTTAGAATTCAGGGAATTGTAGTGTGTTCAGGTCGTAATTGTCTAAAACATTGCTGTAGGCTTGGTAAACTTACCAAGATAAACTTCTCAGAATTTTCCTGTTTTATAATCATGCCTGTTAAGATGAGGAGAGTGAAATAAAGACAAACAAATGGTATTTCTGCTGCAACATTCATACCAGTGCACATGTAATTGGTCAGTGAGACAAGTGATCTCTAACTGGGCTAAGGAAGCTGTGAATGTGTGATTGGAGCTGTATACCAAACCCTGAGCACAGTTTTTGTGTGTTGGGGGAGCATTATTACATATATTTTTTCTTTCAAACAAAAGATGAGGTTTCCCGTTGGTAGCATTCTTTCTATGTTTGTGACTTCCTCTTACCTATATCAGAGCTGCTAGTCTTAGCTGTGGTAGCACTTCTTACTTTAAGAATTCACTGAAGGCAAGCTGTCTAAAAAGGAAACCAAGTGCTTTACAATTAAGGATCTTTTCCTGATTGCATGTCAGCACTTCACACACTAACATGAAATTTATGCATGCAGTCGTGTAATTATACATTCAGCCTTTGTAAGCCCTGTTTTTATATGAAGGTATTATGGCCATACTTTCATTCTTAAATAAATGTAATTTCTGTTGGACACAGAACTTTTTAATGTGGAAAGTGTAAATCAGTTTATTTTCCTTCCAGAACTCAGTATTTAAGTGATTACATTAGCATTTTTTGCTTTCCTCGATGGTTTTCTATAATTTCAAAATAATAATTTACATAGATACTATGTATTTTACTACATTGTAACAATGATAAAATTTTTCTTCCCCTCCAGGAATTGTGGTGCTTGGATTAAACAGATCTCATGCCAAGAATGCACTTAGCAAAAATCTTTTAAAAATGGTAAGTTAAAATAATAGTTTTTAGTATAAAGGTGAAGTATTGGAATTAAGCACTTTAAAAAGTGTTGGTTATTCCCCTTCCTCCTTTTCTCTGTAGATGTCAAAAGCTGTGGATGCTTTGAAATCTGATAAGAAAGTACGAACTGTTATATTCCGGAGTGAAGTCCCGGGGATATTCTGTGCTGGTATGCAAACTTCATTTTCCAGAGAAGCTGAAAATCTGTGTCTCATATTGCACAAAAAAAGGCCCACATTCCAAGGAAACAGGTCTTTTGTGTATATTCATCTCAGTAGCGATCAAAATATTTTGTATGATTTTCCTCAGTTACTAACAAGAACCAAATACCAATTTTATTCTTTCTGTGTCATAAAGTATTTCAAAATATGTAATAGATTATTCATGGTGGTGGAAAATTACTTGATTGAGCTCCTAGAAAGTCTTACGTGTGCTTCGGAATGAGGACCAAATAATGCTAGAGGCCATATAAAGAGGCTGTATAGGAAGCTGTATCAAAATTATATTTTAAACACATTAGAATTAACTTTTAATTAAGAAAACATACTTAAAATGTATTATGAATATAACTGTCTCTGCAGGCTGAATAAATTTTAAAAATACAGTAAAAAAACCCCAAACCAAAAGGAACAACCAAACCAAAAAGCACACACCCTAGCTCACATACCAAGCAGTACACATGTCTTGCCAAGTGCTCAGGAAAACAAAACCTCTCAACTACCAAACACTGGGAAACAGAATTTGTCAACATGTCAAAATTAATTGAGGCAACTGTCTTTTGTGGATATCAAGTGAATAGTTTCCTTATTTTTAGATGTCCCATCCAGTTCTTGCTTTGCTCAAACTTAATTTAAATCTGCTTGAAACCGAAAACAGAAGTCAGTTTCCTCTTTCTAATATATGAATAGAACTGTCAGAAAAGATCAGTTCTAAAATCTTTCTTTTCTGATGACTTATGAAGCCATTAAACTTGCTAGCCACACATAATGTAGTTAATTCATATTTCAGTCCAAAATAGTTTTTACAGATTTTACATATGTAACATACCTAAGTACTTTTAGTTGAATTTTAAATTATTTTTGTTGCTTTTAATAAGTCCGTTTTCATCCAGATACAGTTTGTCACTTCTAAGACTTGTGAAAAGCATTGTCTTGAAAAAAGGAAGTATCAATTCAGTATTTAGTAACGCATATAAATAAGTTAAATATGCTTGTATTAATCATTATATTTAATTTAAAGGTTGTATCTTGTTTTAATACAACAACTTTTAAAGATCAGTTATTAATAATAATCTTCAGGGAAAAAGGTTTAAAAGCTGTGTTTTTAAACTGATGAAGAATGCATCATCAGAGCAACATATGCAAATGAGGTTTTAAGTTACATGTTATGTACTTCATATGAAAAGGTGGTCATTAGTTGAGATTTGTTATCAACTGTGGATTTTTGATGTAACTTTTTTCATTTAACATTCATGAATTTTATAGTAATGTTATAGGGGAAATATGAGAGCAGAAATACTGTTTTTGAGGAAGAGGATCTCAGTTGTGCTATTAATACTGTATTTATGGTCTCTGAGTTCTTCTCCAGTATTCTTTGTTGGCTGACTTTGCAGAGCTGTTTTGATGTGGAGATTTAACGTAGGCATTGTTGCCTGTTTGGCTGGCTGAAAAAAACCCACCAACTTAGAGAATGACAGCTGGCGCAGCTGGCTGTAGACAAGATGCAAGGATGTTTATGTGTGATTATTAAGATGGGAAATAAACCCTGAAAAGAGGAGTGTGAAGGACTAGGGCTGGATAGCAAAGCCAGATTTTAAATCAGGGAAGAGTGATAGGGTGTGGGCCAGGTGTCCGTGGTATAAAAAAACAAGTTATGGGAAAAAGGAGGATCCTAAGAAAGGAAGCTCCTGCAGCTGAACCAGTGAAATAGAGGATATTCCGTCAGTGATAACTGAAACTCAGGGTGAACCAGAAGACTTGAGGCAGAGTTTGCCAATGAAAATAGGCAGAAAGAGCTCAGTGGCTGCATGTGTTGCTTCTATAGGTTACTGGAAGGGTGTCTGCAAACAGAATGAAACTAGAGAAAACACAGTGGGACGTGAAGAAAACGGGTAATGGCTTAGGGAAGTAGGATGAAGGGAAGAACACTGGATGTGACAAGGCATTTTCTGGAGGGTACTTACTTAGGAAAACCAGTAGAACAGAAGAAAGCGTTTTCAAACTGCAAGATTACAGGACAATGTGTTGTTTCAAGAACACTTAATTTCCTGGAAAAAAATGCAAGTATCATCTTGTGAAATGTTGTCACATTTTCTAATGCATTTTGGTTAGGATAGACTTTGAATGTTTGTTTTATTTTTTGTATTTCCTCAATTATGTTTTCTTTCTTGCATGTGTGGGAATGTATGGTTTTTAAAAATACATTTTTATGATGATTTTTTGGACCACCATCTGATGTTTTACAGACCACAGATTGAGAAACTTTGTCCTAGAATGTAATTCCCTTTTATGTGTGGAATGAAATCCAAGATCCTTAAATCTTGCCATTCCTTAGCTATCAAAAAAATCTGTGAAAGCCACAAGCCAAGTGTCTTGTTTCCTTCTAAGGGCTATTCCACCAAACATGACATCCAACTGTTTTTCACAAAATGACAGTGTCTGATTAAAGATTTAGACTGTTGATGACTGTTGTGGATTTGAGCATGATTCCAAATTACGGAATTTTCACGTGTGAAATGGATATAAAAAAAAAGGAATTGTATAAAAGAAAATAGAGATGTGCCAACAGTCGTATCCTTTCATTTCTGCATGAAGATTTGCTTTGAATCTTTTTACTACTGTTTTCTTTGTTCTTTCTTTTGCTCTATGCATCCATAGATGCTGAAAGTTCCTCATGAATGCTCTAGTGCTGATCAAAAAGGACACCCAGAAGTCATAGAATCATAGAATAGTTAGGGTTGGAAAGGACCTTAAGAGCATCTAGTTCCAACCCCCCTACCATGAGCAGGGACACCACACACTAAACTGTGTCACCCAAGGCTCTGTCCAACATGGCCTTGAACACCACCAGGGTTGGAGCATTCACAACTTCCTTGGGCAACCTATTCCAGTGCCTCACTACCCTCACTGTGAAGAATGTCTTCCTTAGATCTAATCTAAACTTCCCCTGTTTAAGTGTAAAGCCATTACCCCTTGTCCTACCACTAGAGTCCCTAACGAAGAGTCCCTTCCCAGTGTCCTTGTAGGCCCCACTTCAGATACTGGAAGGCTGCTATGAGGTCTTCACGCCGTCTTCTGTTCTCCAGGCTTAACAGCCCCAACTTTTTCAGCCTGTCTTCATACGGGAGGTGCTCCAGTCCTCTTATCATCCTCGTGGCCCTCCTCTGGACTTGCTCCAGCAGCTCCATGTCCAAGTCAAAGAAGAGCTTCCTGGGGTTAAGGATGCATGATGTCTATGAGGCCACTGTCTGCTTCCATGAGAAGTGCTCTCGCTCTAAGTCACTTTTTGGGCCTTTTCTTTCTCTGTCTAAAACCAAGTAAATAAAATATTGTCCTTTCTGGAGTGAACACATACACTCAGTCCTGGCCTGTGTAAGCCTGTGCGGTGTACCTGCCAGTTCTGCAGCAAAGGCAGGTGAGTCTGTGCAGTAGTCTATTTCCTGGAAGTATTCCATCCTTGAGGAAGGTGCAGTATCTGCATGGGATAAGACAGGTGTCCCATAGATAAAAAATCTGTGAGCAAGTAAGTTAGAGCTGTGCTGTGTCAACACAAAGGGTTGAGTTACATGGACATAGGCAGTTTGAATAGGTTTCTTTTTAATTATTAATGTAATTTTAACATATGTATAACAGTGATATAGCTCAGGTAGCTTTGTGAGTAGATTTCGAGGGTTTTTCACTTTAAAAAAATATTGGAAGTGCGTGTGTATAGTACTTTTGGGAAATACAGTGCTGTGAGGAAGGGAGGAAGGACTGTCTACAGTTGTAGCAAAACCTTGTGCTGGAGTTGCAGTGTGTTGTGGAGACAGTCTTACAGCTTCTCGTCTTAACTATGTGGGGTCTGAAAGAAGGTACAAATAAAATATATTGTCCAACAGCTACTTTTTGATTTTTATATAATGTTCAATAATGTTTGTGGCCCAAAGAGTTGAACATCCTAATATTGCACCTTAAAGCTTTCATTGTTCAGTTTCCTAAGCCTTTGATTAGAAGGCAGAATAATATTTATACAACTTCTAGTTACTGTTGAATTTTGCATTTGGAAATGTTGCTTTGGCAAACTGAATCCTGCTGCACGATTCCAGGTCTTCTTCTACCCCCTTTGTTTCTGTGTTTGGTCACATGAAATAGCTATCAATTTTGCAATTGCAAACTATGGGTATTTGGGATCAGGTAATATTCTTTTCTTTTTAAACAGTTTTATTTGTTGGTGGTTACAGTAATTAAAGAAACAGACTACTTTTATATTCTTTTTGATCCTGCTTTTCACCTGCTGTTCCTTCTACTGCTCTTTCCCGTAGGACTTTCATGTTCCTTCAGCCCCGTTTGCATGTCCTGTCAATAAGGCACTTGTTTTAAAACAATTATTATGCATTGAAAAAAAAAATAATTCCTCATGTGTTTGTTTCCGGCAGTAGCTTACTGGCCCATAGCTCATATTAATAAATAAAGCCCCATGCTACTGTATACAGTTCAGAGTAGTTACAGTTTTATTTTCCTTCCTCAGTGACTGGCCGTCCAGAACAGTTGCTTAACTCTGGCTGTTCCTGTCCAATCAGAGGTAGTTTCTTTCCTGAAAGTCCATATGTGACTTATTGTGAGTTTCCCTGCATCCATCTACCTTCTGTTGATACTCAGAAAAATTCTGCTCTTCTTATGGGAGGAGAATGAAATGCTGTCATTCCCCAGAGGAACAGATCACTTCTGGATTTCTTTTTGCTTGGGAGAGTTAGAAGGAGAGCTTTCAGGGGCAAGAGCCTCCTACTTGAGATATTTTGGTGTTTGTGTTTAGAGTATAATTGTTAAGAACAGTCGCTTCAGTATTGCTTCTCCAAAGTGAACTGCATTAACTGAAGTAGAGGTTGTGAAATTGATGAGTTATTTTTTTTGTATATGCGTGCACAAAAGGAGAGCTTTGGGGCAATTTTTAGTTGACAGATTTGAAAAAAAT